CAATCCTCTATGGCGGTGCGTTTTTGGATAAAGACAAATCTGAGATATTTTAAAGATATTTTTGGGAAAGAGACAAGTGTGGTAGGTAGGGTGGTACAACTGGATAAGATGGAATCTTTTCGATCGATCGGAAGAAAGTTGGATCGATCGAACTTTGTGGGATCTTTGGATAAGGACAAAAGAGCTTGGATCCATCTTGAAATGCTAAGATCGATGAACTTTTGATCGATCGAATATTTTCTGAGATCGATCGAACTTGCTGAATTTCCACCACTTGCTTCCTTTTGCTCCCACTTTGCTCATTTCTTTGATTCATCTCAAGATTGCTTCAATTATGCTCTTATTTAGCTGAGTTAACTTATTTTGGGGATAAGCACCTGAAAATGAAAATAATACAAAATTAATTTAAAGCGGGAAAATAAGATAGATAAAGGTTTCTAGAATACCTAAACTTAAAGGGTTTAAATGCGCACTTTTCAACGCTCATCAAGTGTGTCACTTTGGTGACTAAACACCCAATCTAATTTCATCAACTTTTGAGGTTAGGATTTTTATAATAATTCAATTTTCCCTAAATGAATCTAATTAATATATAAATATGCATCAATATTAAACATGAGGCAATATGCATAATTATATTTATTATGCTAAATTCAGTACATTTATATAATAATGATACCATTTAAATCATATCATAAGCACTATTTGAAGTTTCAATCCTAACACTTATCATATTTATATAAATATATATAGTAGCTTTCAATTGCTCCCTGGTGAGCATAGAGTAGTATACTCACTTTTAATCTTGACCTTAGAATCTAATCCTACTGTAATTAATTAATCAGTGTTTCCTTTTTATATTTAAGGCAATTGCTTCTTTTTTTTATTACCATTATATATTATTAATAAGAAATGACAAAACTAGACATGTTTTTAATGGAAACAAATTAAAACCAAACTGGTTAGGATTTTCTTTTATACGAATTCTTTCCCATCCGAATTCTTAAAGCATACCAATTAAAAATAAAAAAATTTAATTATCTCCAATTCCTTCGACAATGGAAGGTTAAAACATAAAAGGCAACCACGTCTAAAAAAATAAAAAATAATGAAATTTCCAATCCCATTAACTTTGAATTGCCACAGTGCATTCCACCTCCATCACCAGCACCTCCATCGCTGCCGCTACCACTTACCCGCCACTGCCGCCACTTCCACCATCGCTGGCCACCACCTCCACTACCGCCACCACCTACCCCACCACCTCCACCACCGCGGCGGTATTGGCAGGGTAGGTGGTGGCGGCGGAGGCGATGGAGGTAGCGGCAATGCCAGCGTAGGTGGTGGAGGTTGTCCATTCCCTTTCTCTTTCATATTTTATATTTTGGGTTGCATGATTTGATGATTTTACTTGCCTTTGAATTCATTTTTATGCACATATATACAAATAAACATATTTTGAGAGTACAACATTCATTTGTAATTGGATTATTCAGTAAGTAGTTATTTCATAGACATAAATTAATTGCAAGGATAAAAAGGGGACGATTGTGCATTAAATTTTTTAACTGGTATGCTTTGAGAATTCCCTGGCTAAATGGATAGGAACGAAGGGAATTGGAAATAATTAATTTTTTATTTTTAATTAGTATGCTTTGAGAATTCGGATAGGAAGGAATTCGTATAAAAGAAAATCCTAACGAATTTGGATTTAATTTATTTCCATTAAAAACATGTCTGGTTTTGTCATTTCCTATTAATAATATATAATGGTAATAAAAAAAGAAGCAATTGCCTTAAGGAAACACTGATTAATTAATTACCGTAGGATTAGATTCTAAGGTCAGGATTAAAAGTGAGTATACTATTCTATACTCACCAGGGAGCAATTGAATGCCACTGTAAATATATATATATATCTATATATATATATATGTATATATATATAAATAAATATATATATAAGAGTCTAGTAGATACTGTGTGTGTAATGACCCAATCATTTTCCTCTCTTTCCTTTTTCTCAAATTTTATGGATAAATTTTTTTCGTTTAATTTTCTTTTCCGAATTCTGTTTCTCGACACTTAGTGTCATCTCAAGTGCTCAGAAATGATTTCTGAGACTCTTTCCCTTGGATTGACAACTTTCTTTAGGGATCGAGCCATTTCCACATTTTTCACTTTTTGGACACTATATACTTTTCGTCCTTTTCCCTATTTTGTGTTTTCCCCGTTTGTCACTTTTTGGCACAACCTCACTTTCCATGCTCAGAGTTGCTTTTTGACTTCACGTATCTTCATTCTAGGTGGTTTCCACGAAATACGCACCTTTACTTTTGCAGTAAAGTACTCTAGTTGCTCCCGGTGTCCATAGGGGTATGGATGCATAGTTTTTCAGAATCTTTTTCTTTTCTTGAAGTGTTTTCCATATATATCTTTTGAAGATATTTTATTTCAGGGGTTTTTAAGAAAATATTTTTTGAAAATATTTTCATTCTGGGTCATTAGTGCAGTTTTCACTTTTTGGAAGGGTCATTGTGCAATTAATGAAAGTTATTGAAAAAATGCCTCATTTTGAGCTTGGATCCTCTTACGGGATTCATTTTCACATTTCATCAAGTTTTTTACTCTTAGAATTTCCTTCTGGTCATTTTTCTCTAGTTTCAAGGTTTCTAGCCCCGGTTACCGCCGAACTTGTTCTGGGTATATCTCTCTGCGTGAGACTCGATTTTCAATGTTATTTCTTCTGTTGTTTATATTTTCTCATTTCAGTTCTTTTTTGTTAACGGAGTTTTTTTGTTTGAGCGCGTCTGCTCAAATTCCACTTTCCCGGACCCGGCGAGGCCCTTTCGGGGCACTTTTATAGTTTTCCTATAAATAAGGGGTTATAAAATTAAAAAGTCATCTTCCCCTCTTTTCATGCACGACCAGAAACAGTCATTGCAGCCCAAGGGGGGCTGCCACCCTTCTTCTCTCAATTAAACATCCTTCCCTTTGTTAAAAAGTCGTAGTGCCTTTGTGTTTTATGCTTGTCTTAACTATGCGCATCTTTCCCCCTTATTAGAATCCATTTTTGGCCATTTTTTTGAGTTCAGGTTTGAGGTCAAGTTTGGATTTTGGTATGTCCTCTTTGGAGTTTAATGTTCACCGTGTGGTCCCCGATATAACCTAGGAGTATCGTCGGATTCGGAGCATTTTTCTTTCAGTGGGGTTTTGAGATTTTCATCTCAAATGGAGGTAGGGGGTGTTATAGTTTCATATTTTTATTGTCTTGCATGCTAATGATGCTTATACAACTTGTATGCATGCTTTTGTTCATAATCAAGAATTTAATTTAATTATTTTCTTTATGTAAGATTTAATTCTTATGATGATATTCAACTTAGAATTAAATTGTGACATGCTAGAAATTTAGTCCTTGGTATGGTGATTGATATATATTAAATTGGGATTATCTGAATAAGAATTGCAACTTTTATTTAATATTTATCTTTTGTAAAAGTTTAATTCACATAGTTGTATCAAGCATGAAATAAACTTGTAATGTAATATTAAAGTAGGCCTTGGTGAGTTCTTCAATATATGTTAATTTGAGAGCATTTGGAGTTGTTTAAAAATCTAGAGGAAATTAATTAATTAGTTATTTGATGTTACATATGTGATGACCATGATATGTCCTTCAACATATATAAATTTGATGTTATTTGGAATTAATTTGGAATCTAGAGAATTTAATTATTTTTATTTAATTAAATTTTATCTAATTGCTTCATGAATTTAATTGTGTTTTGGAAGTTGTTTCTATGTTTAAATTATGGACTTGGACTTGTTGTATATTCACTTGATTACATTTTGAGCATTGGATGACATAGTTGTTATATTTATATTCATGAGAATATATTTTCCTTATTAAATATATCATTGTCTTGTGTAATGAGTTGCACATTTTGTATTTGACATCTTTCATGCCATAGTAGTTATGGACTTAGAATATGTATTGTATGTGTTTCCAATTTTGGTTGTATGTGGTAGATAGTTAATTATCTTGTATATACATGTTGATATATACATTATTGCACAACTTGTTGTTTTTGGAAACTTGGGGATGTCGTTGTTTGACTAAGGCTAGGACATGGTTCTAGTATGGGGGATTGTCCCTCTACAAGTCTAGTGCGCACATAAGGAGGTTACCCATGGGCTAATAACCTTAAAGTAACTATGGTGTCAGTTTGATCCGGCGTGATGTCCAAGTATCTACTTTGTTTGATTTCACATTTCGTTTCAAGTTGATAACTAGATGATATCATGACTTATTGTTCTTTAATTGATTTCCCGTTTTGAGTTTCAAGATGTTAACTTAGAGGAATCATGCTTTATGCGTTGTATTAGAAGTTCCAATGTTGGTTAAATTGCGTCGATATTGTGATTTGTGTTTTAATATTCAAATGTAACTTAGGAATGATCTTATAAATTCATTATAATATAGACGTTAGGTGGCATGATCTACTTTAGTTGTTTTCGTGTTTTAGATTTCAAGTTGAAGACTTTAAGAATATATATCTTGATATTTTGTATAATATGTTTCCATGATTGTTTAAGTTGCATGAACAATGTGATTATGCTAGAAACGATCTAAGGTAGCTTAGGATGATTCCTTAAACTCATTGAAACATAGACGCTAGGTGGCATGACCCACTTTAGTTGTTTTTGTATCTTAGGTTGCAAGTTGATACTTTTGAGAACTTATATCTTGTTGCTTTGTATAACATGTTTCTATGTTATTTAAATTGCATGAATGATGTGATTTATGCTAGAAATGATCTAAGGTAGCTTAGGATGTTCCCTGAGTCTCATTCTGACATAGACGTTATGTGGCATGAGCCCCTTTGACTTGTTTCACCTTAAGGTGATAATTTTGTAAAATGTTAAGTCAATGCATGCCCATTTCCTATGAGTAGCTTTATGTTACTCACCCTGAAGTTACTGGGGATTTGTTTCAGGTATGAAGACTTGGTTTGTGATGCTCATCATACTTTGGATGACTTGTAGCTTTTAAGTTTCCATTTCATGCAAATGTTAGCATAAAATGTCATTTTGTAGCCTTATATATCTAAACTTGTATCTTTGATTCCATATATGTAATGTGTACATAAGTACACCTTTTACGATGTATTCGACTTGTGTGAGGTGAGGCCAAAGGCCAATGACATTTATATTGCATCTTATGTAATTCTTGATTTCATGAAATGTTATGCAAATATTGAAAAAAATCACAAGTCATTATCTCACTATGGTTGCATCGGGTGTGGGAATTTCATTTTTATTTTTCCATAGGGTCTCATTAATCATGTATGAAGTGTGGCTAAGGGCCAAACGATAACTTGAAGCCATTTTAAAATTTTAAATTTCAAAATTTTGATTTTATTTGCATTTTTGCCTTTTTGGCCGTTAGGGGGTTAGATTTTGCATTGGCTGTATTTTTAAGCCATAAACCACTGTAGCACGTCCTGATAGGTAAGTTACATTTGCGTGCATGATCATTTTCAAGAAAAACCTCATCCTTGGTGATTTGAGCCTCCTATGGACTCATTTTGCATATATATATATATATATATATATATATATATATATATATATATTTTTGCATAATATGATTTTAGGGCATTTTGGGGTTTTCCTTCGAGAAATAAATTTCGGTCTTCACATGGTCACTTAGAAAACATGATTTTGGGGGGGGGGGGGGTGTTTCTTCTTCGTGTTTTTCCAGAAAATGTTGTCTTGGTATCGGAAATCCTTCGCGAAGTTCAGTTTTCAGTTTTGCATTTTAGCAGCTTTTTAACCCCCATGACCTGATTTCATAGAGGGGCATTCTGGGTATTTTATAATGTATATTTTTCATTTTCTTTCATGAAACTAGGTCAAAAACTCAATTTTAGGGGGGGGGGGGGTTTCTTTTTCGTATTTTTCCAGAAAAATTCGTTTGGTAGCTCGTTTTTGATCTCAGATGTGGATAGTTACTATAGCAGCTTTTTGCCTTCTTGTCTAGTTCTGATCTAGGGGCATTTTGGGGATTTTGCAGTGTGTCTTTTTTGTTTCCTACCAAGTGGTCAGGTAAAAAACTCGATTTTCGGGGGGGTTTCTTCTTCATGTTTTTCTAGAAAAATTCGTTTCGGACCTCGTTTCGGCTCTCAGTTCTGGCTGAATTGTTTTCTTTCCTAACATGTCATGGTGGTTGTCATGGTGCTTGTCGGTGTGCTTGTGGGGTGCTCGTCTCGATATCGTGACGTCGACTTTTGTTTTCGCTCGTTCTCCTTCGTATGGACTCCAAATCGAGTGGACCTTTTTTTGAACTTGATTAATTTTTCGCTGTTTTTCCAACGTTGTGCTCGGTTGAACCCGAATCTTCCTGGATAATTACCCTTTTAGCCTTAAGAGCTCGTTTTTCTTCGTCGTGCCATTTCTCCTTCATCAGGACTCTGAATCATGTGATTCTTGAGTCCATCTTGATTAATTTTTCGTTGTCTTTCTAGAGGTGTGCTCGGTGGGAGCTTATTTGTCATATTTTCGATCTTTTGCTTTCGCATCAGTTCTTATTGAGTTCCACGATCTCATAGAAGGTCACTTTGACTTCTTAGAGTCTTGGTTTTTGTTTTCGTTTTCACATTTCGGATCCGTTATCGGATTATCCTTTCGGTTCATCATTGACGCATTGCCCTAAAAATCGGGGCAGTTACAGTGTGTGATTTAGTTGAGACGAGCTCTGCCGAAGTAATTAGCTGATGCTTCTGAATATATATCTTTGTAATTAGTACATACACACATATATTTATTTTATCTGGGGCAAAAAGGATCTGTTTTGATTTTCTTAAAATAGAAAATTTGGCGACATGCAAGACAACCTACATTCAATGGTATGGCGCACGAAAGGGAAACTGACACCATATATTTTGTAGGACCCGGATCTTGTATTGTGACAAAGCCTAGATGCCGATATGCGAGATATATGTGTCCTTATGATCTTTGTATATTGAGGCTTGATATTAGTTGTTTCAAATAGTTATCCATTTGGGCCTCATATAAGGCTAATTGAACGGGCGTACCATCTCATGATCTCATATATAAATACATGCATACGTGAGACATTGGTATAAAAAATCACTAAAATTTTATTACCAACAAAGCAGATAATCACGTACAATATATAACAATATATCTGTGTCCTATCTAATCTAAAACATAGAGACAATCATAAAATTTCATGCGTATAGAATGAATAATAGATTTATGCATCAGAGTCCATGTTTGGCTCTGATACCACATGTTAGCAATTCAACAATAGTATACATGGTTTGTGATACCCCCGGATTTCTGGATGCGGGTTGGCCAGGCCCATGCCCGAATATCCGAGGATATCAAAACGAATCGGTAATAATCGAACACAAAATACAAATATGATAACTAAGCATAAATAAATTGCTGAAAAAACTAAAATGATAATCCATTAATAAAATCCTCAGAATAAATTTTCATTAAATAATAAAATATTCTGATACAATTAATCCTCCAATAATACAACTTAGGAATCCATACTGTGTGGACCCCTAGAAAATCTCAAACCACTAATCAATACTAAACAACTGTCTATAACTACATATTGAATCATAAAGGAAACTCTTATGTAGGTAAAATGAAGAATAAAGTAGATGATCCCTACTCAGCATGAACAATCCCTACTCCTAACGAACACCTGAAAAATAATAGTGGGTCAGGCCGACAAACAAGTTCTACTCTACTACAGTCCAAGCAGAGATCTGATACACGTATACTTCCTAGTCAATCCAACAATAGATACACACTATAGGACGCCTACTGGACTATAGGTTTGTCTCAACCTGAATAGAAGGCAACATGCGAATCGCACATAAAGTGGGCATGAGTACCTAGACCTACCAGGGCACCCAGATGTCTACTATATCTAGTTATCCATCCTAGGCAATATACGCACCTTAACCATGATCTTGAGACTCAAACTCATATCATGGCTTATAACTATATATATATATATATAATCCATCCTAATCCGGAACATAAAATAAACATCCGGTATGTCATCAATTGATTCAGTTGTCCTGACATGAATATGTAGGATTTAACATTTTAGTTAATTCATTCCGTTATACATGAATAGGTAGGACTTAACATTTTTAGTTAATCCGTCCATAATATGCCACCATCTCATACTGGTGCATATAATGCATATGATCCATAAATGATGCAACAGATACAACAATACATCAAATAATCCATATAACATCCATATTAATTGCTAAGTTATTTTTAAGCAATTAAATCCACCATTCCATCCATAATTGATGAAATAATAAAACAATACATCAATTAATCCAGAGACAAGTATAATCAAAATCAGATGATTAACTGACAATATTATACTGCAAATACATTATTTAAAATCATACAATATCCATTTAAATTGCTAAAACAATATGAAGCAATTAAATCATCGACTAACAATATGTAAATTTACTTAAAATGTCATATTGTTTAACTTATAGCATAGGTATGTAAATTATGCTTCCTGGGATTTAAATATGTCAAGTAATAATATTTTAAACCCTCATTATATAATATCCATGAAATTTCTTAGAACAATTTTAATAATGAATTAATCATTAATCAACATGTAAATTTAACTGAAATTTCATATTGATCACTTCCATAACCTATAGGCATAGATTAAACATCTTGAGATTTTAACATGTTCATTGTAGCCATTTAAAACCCCCGCAACAGTCTAAACCATTTCAGAAGACCCCAAACATCCAAAACAGCAGCCAAAACCCATTCCCATAGGATTTTCAGCAAGGAAGCTGCCTCCATTGGAGATGGAGCCGCCTCCACTCCTGCTATTCTCCATGTTTCCCATCTCCGACGAGTTCTAAACACTCTCTACTCCTCCGACAAGGTTCCTAAACATCTGTTCTAGGTCCTAAACGATCCCAATAATTTATAAAATTCATATGCATTTTAAACACAAATTAAAACCAAGTTCCATGTAATTAATTTCAATATTAATCAAGAACACATATAAACACTTATATACTATTTTAATTCAAATTAAGCATGCATATTAATTCGATTTAAAATCTAATTAACCCTTGAATTAACCTAGGCTTGTATAGAAACATGAAATCTAAGGGAAAGAGTAAGAGCAAAACTTGCCTCTTAAGGTTTCAGCTTGAAACCTTTAACTGTCTTCTTCCTAGGTTTTTTGGCAACCTTGGTTGCTGTTGAACCTTCTCTGTTGCTCCTGATTTCACCCACAAATAAACCCTCTTCCTTCCTCCTTAGTCCGACCTTCAATCCTTGGCCAAAACCCTAGCTTCCTCTCTTAGTTTTCTCTCAAACGCAAGAATAGGGTTTCTTCCAACCCTTGACAGACAAACCTAAGATGTATATATAGGCTTATAACAAACCCTAATCCTATTCATAACCTAAGTCTAATAATAAGAGAAGGAAAAATAAAAATAAAACGTAATAATATCCATAAATATGTGTTAGGCGCTGAATTTTATACATTTTAGCCCCTCTATTCATATGTTTTATTCTCTTAATAATAGTTTATTTGTGATTTTACATTGTTTTATTGTTTTTATTTATTTCAGGGCTTTAATTATAAAATCAGTCAACACTAGTAATTCTGAGCTTTACAAGATGACATTCCGTGGGACAGAGCAATGTTGAAGATCCAAGTCTAATTATATTTAGAAAATAGTCCAAAAGAAGCTACAAGTTGATGAGAATGGAAAGAAGAAGAAAAGGAAAAATCCTTCTCCAAAAAGGATTTGTCGCCAAAGTTGGTAACTTAAACCCGTTTTGGTAATCTGGCTGTATCTCTCTCCTTGAGCGTCAAAAGAATTAAATTCCCACATTGTTTGATAGGACATTTGAAGAGCTACAATTTTGTGTTTCACGAGCTTTCCCTAAAACAGCTTTTTACCTTGTCAAAATTGGCCTAGAAGTCTGCATAAATTTTGGGAGTCCTTACTCGACAGAATTTCTATGTATGTCTCCTATATGAAAAAGGGAACTTTAGGGCTGATCTTTTATTATTTAAAGGGGGTCCTCTACAACATTGAAGCATCATACAGAGCAGTGAGGCTAAGATCAGAGAGGAGCATTC